TAGTGTGTGTGTGTGTGTGTGTATATGTGTGTGTGTGTGTGTGTATATATGTGTGTATATGTGTGTGTGTGTATATATCTGTGTATATATGTGTGTGTATATATGTGTGTGTGTATATATATATATGTTATATGTGTATGTATGTGTGTATATATATATATATGTGTGTGTGTGTGTGTGTATATATATATGTGTGTGTGTGTGTGTGTGTGTATTTATTGTGTGTGTGTGTGTAGTATATATATATATATATATATATATATATATATATATATATACATATACACACACACATTGTTTTTGTAGAACACTAGTTAGCTTGGTGCTTTGAAAAATTAATTGCTATTTGTATTGCTTTTCCAAAACTCAGTTTGCTTTTCTCAGTCTACATATAAACTAGCAGGATTACTGAGAACTAGGGACTTCAAGGTAAAGAAGAGTTTTAGTGACTCATTGTTGATTTAGATTGTAAGCTTCATGAGCAGGGCTCTCCTATTCCTTCTGTACTGAAATATATTGTACTTGTACTGTCTCCCTTTATATTGTAAAGCACTGCACAAACTGTTTGGCTTTATATAAATCCTGTATAATAATAATAATAATAATGGTAACTCCCAGGGTATACTGATGAAGACATCACTGATACAGCTTAGAAATATAAGAGTCTCCACACCCCCACTCAAAAAAGCTCTTTCAGATGCTAATTCTGGTGGTTAATAATCGTCTACAGCCTGTTTTAATGTTTTGGGGGGGGGGTTTATGTATTTTAAATCCAAAATTCCCTAAATGAGCATATAAAGGAAATTGAGTCCAACCTCATCTTCCTTTATATGCTCAAATGTGGTGTTACAATACATTAAAATCCTTAAAACAAGCTGTAGAAGATTATGTGGAAAAACCTACACATTTATGGTCTACCCCAAGTAAATGTTACTCTTTTGGCCTTAGGAAATTAAGGGAAATAATTTAGGGAATTAAATTGACATTACGTGTACAATTTTTATCTATCGAAACATAATTTAATGTATATTAATTGACAATGGAGAGTCCTAACCAACATTCACTCTTTACCATATTATCTATATTCTAGATTAGTTCTAGATACAGCTACGATATGCCCCAGCAATGCTGGATGAAACATAAAAAAATGGATCAAGATATCAAAGCCAAAAATTACTTTGATCTTTCACATAGAATTAAAACTATAACAAGGCTGTATTTTATTGTGACTCAGTGTTGTGATAAGACTGTATGAAGATAGCAGTTTATGTAAAAAAATAAATAAATAAAAGTTCTAGTGTTAAACATTTAAAGTACTGTCATCCAGTGCCCTGGTCACTTTTACCTGTGTGACATAGAATCATTTTCTGCTGAAATTAAGCCAGTGGCAAAACGTGTCCAGTGCAAGCTTGATCTGGCTGTGTTGTCCTCTCATTTTCAATAAAAAGCAGCTTTCACTGTTGCTTTGAGTTATAAACATTATTTATTATCTACCATGTTTAGGTAGGGAAATGAGCATATATGCTTGAGTGCCTTGTGTTTCAAGGTCACCCAGCCTTTTGTGGCTTAAAATGATGAATTCATAAGCTGAGCTTGTGTTGTAAAATGACAATATTATTGGGCATGCCAGAATACATCATGCAGACATTTAATCAAAAGATGATTAAGTTATATTTCAATCTTTTCTCCTTCAGATAGTTGTAGTTAAATTTTACCTCGTTACGTGCCCAATATTTTCAAGTGAGCAGGCATAAATATTGATGCTATGAAGTCTTAGACAATGATAAATCCTGCTGCATCACTGTGATGTTACGGTTTTGGGGTTGTATTCTATATGTGCAAAGAGAGATCACACAAATACTTATAAATCTAACATTTATTAAAAGTAGGGATAGAAAAAGGATGACGCTTCTACCCATCCCAAGGAGTCCTGTGAAGACGCTGTATTGTGGATCGCCTCAGCCATCACTCTGGCCACGCCCTCTGATGCATTCCACCACACCCATAGGGGGCTTGCTCACAGAGCCCCCTATGGGCGGAGTGAACCATGTCAGAGGGTGTGGCCGCAGTGATGGCTGAGGCGATCCACAATACAGTGTCTTCAAAGGACTCCTTGGGGTGGGTATGAGCTGCATCCATTTTCTCTCCCTGCACATTGCCTAGTTTCTGGTATAACTTGGGAAGCTGCTCCTCTCTTCCTTGCCGGCGGCTGATTGTATTTTGTACAGCTTCGAGCAGTGCCATACTTCTGCTACATGATTTATTCAAAGTAATCACAGATGCAGATGATGAGAATAATATTAGAAAATATAACAATAATACTTAACTAAAGATGCTGTTTCCACCACGGAGTCCCATCTGCTTTCACAACATGGCACACAGATATGACTAATATTTCCAGCCTAGCTGTGTGCTATATACTGGACTTGAATGTAGGGAATGGTCAACTTGCAATGCGAGCAACACTGACCTTGTAAGGACTTGCCACTTTGCAGTAACATTTCTTTGGTATGTGTCAGCTAAATGACCGTCCTTGTCTCATTATTAGATATTGTGGCCCACCAATAATAAGAAAATATACAATTTCCCCATCAATCACCTAGTATTGTAGGATTTTTAGAGACATTCATATTTGTTCTTTATTCTTGTTTGGGAATGTAATCATCTGCTGTAAAAGAACAGAATCTGCCGTTTGTGAATACTTAAAGGACAGAACAGTTCTAAATTATAGGGAAATTGTTACGCAATTGCTAATAATGTTAGCAGTTTTTCTGATCCTCTGTCCATCCATGTTACAGTACCTATTTTGCTTTTGCCTTTTTCCTTCTTGTAAAAACTATAGAGCTGCCCTTTTTCCCCAGCTAGCAGGATTTACCAGGATCATAAGCTGCTATTACAAATGTCAAGGTGAAATTGAGTATCACAGAGTTATATCAACAGTGATTATCTATGACAGCCATTGTGAACAAATGGCCATCCTTCTTTTGGAGTATCATAGTGCATGTGCCAGGTGATGGAATTCTTTGTGTTCTAGCACCTGGTACCGAAAGAGAGACAAAATTATCTCCATAAAGTTCTGGCCTGGAAAGTGAGAGAGAGCAGCCCATAAACTTAAGATGGGTAAGTGATCACCAGTGGGGGTGATGGGGGGCTTATTTCAGTGACAATAACTACCAATGAATGATGGGGTTAAAGTTATCTGCCAGTGGCTACCAATGCAAGGGAGGGTTAACTCTTATTGCCATTGACCACCAATGTAATATGCAAACAGCATATAAGGAAGAACTGCATTACAGAAACTTGTTGATGTGCATTTGTTCAGAAATAATTTCTCCTCTTAGTTATGAGAATGCAAAAAAAACCTGCAGTGAGGTCTGATTGATCTCAGAAGCATCTCAAACTGATGTCAAAGGCACACCACACTTGCCAATCAAAGCCTGTAAACACAGGCCGATGGAGATTTAAATTGTAGGTTGAGCTTTCCCCAACTATTCCTTCCTACCTCCTGGTATTTCAATGTGTTGGATGGTCTTAATGAGCAGAAGGAATTTGTGTGTGTTGGGCTGGGTCTGGGCTAAGCTTGACATTTACAAGAAAAGTTGGTGTACATACAAGTTCAGCTGCCTCTATCTCTGGACCTTTACGCTGTTTAGACCTAGATTCCATTTAAAGTGGTTCTAAAGCATTGAGGTGAATAAACCTTTTGTGCTGCAGGATCACCTCAGCCTCCCATTATTCCTACCTGAGCTGGATCCAATCCAGTGATCCACTCCCCTCTGTCTCCCTCCTCAGCAGCCATTGGCTCCCACTGCTGTCAAGTAAACACTGTGATGAGCAAGCAGGGCCGAGCCTCCCGTTTTGTGTGAATAGACAAAGACAGAACGGCTCGGAAGCGAGCCCACACAGGTGCTCCCATGGAAAGCAGCTTTCAGAGGAAGAACCTGGCAGGGGACCCCAGAAGAAGAGGCTTGGGGTTGCTGTTTTCAAAACCATTGCACAGAGCAGGTAAAGTATACCATGTTTGTTATTTTATTGAAAACAATGAAGCTTTAACGTCACTTTAAAGTAACATCTTCTTTGTTCATTGTATTGTCCAGTTTTGTGACAGGTTTACACTGATATACAGGAGGTCAAAATCTTGCAAATTTGAAATTAAGAAATGATGATATAAACATGGCATGCATGTCATTGTTGTGAAAATGAAGTTAATGTCAATCTTTAAATTCTTTCTAGAATTATGATGCTTTCAGTTCTTCGACATACAAAAACTCCCATAAAGTTCTGGTTTTTGAAAAACTACCTTTCCCCACGGTTTACGGTAAGAATTTTGTATTATTAAAGGTAGGAATCTCTATTATACATTAAATGAGCTACATTGTGCTAATTATTAATCTATGTTCCTGTGAATATATGGTTCTAATATTTATTTTACACAAAGTACAAATATAGTAGCAATTACAAAAAAGAAGAGTGGAAATGAAAACTTTTTAAATATTGGCAGAACCTGTCAGGCTTTTAAAGATGAAGTTAGGCTGTTTTATTTTAGGGAGGAAGGAGGGATTAGGTACCATACACAATAGTTATGTGCGTGGTACTGTTCTCTGAGGAAAAAAAGGTAAACTTCATCAAGTCTGCATGCATACATTCCTGCCATATCAGGAAATGTATAATAAATAATTGGCATGACTCATACTTTCATACTGTTTTATTTTGCTTCTAATAAATCTAAATCATGTGCGTTGCAACCTGTCTTTATAGGCCCAGTTCACATAGCGGGAACAGACATTCCAACTCATGCTTTTTTTTTTTTTTGCAAGAGTCACTTGAATTGGCTGCCCTATGCGTGTTTGTCATGGTAAAGAAGCTCAGGGACCAAATTTTGGCCCTGAGGCAGACACTTCTTTACATGTGAGTTTTGTCGAATGGCAAATTTGCACCATGTTTGGGGTGCCTTTAAGAATGAATGACACCCAAATGTGTGTTGTGTGTTTTGCCATTTCTGCCCGCAATTTCAAATCATTAAAGTGTTACTAAACCCAGGACCCTGCATTCACTATAACTGGTCTCCCACAGTACACAGAACATGGAAGTGCAATTATTTTAGTAAATATAAACTGCTAAAGGATCAGAGAAGACAGAATCAAACATCTTTTTTACATATGTGTGTGGAGGATTAATCCCTTAGGTTCCACAGTCACTATAACATGCATGCTTTACTTTATATATGGATTGCCTTTACTGTTGTTGGTTTAGTAACACTTTAAAGTGTTACTAAACCCAGGACCCTGCATTCACTGTATCTGGTCTCCCACAGTACTCAGAACATAGAAATGCAATTATTTTAGTAAATATAAACTGCTAAATACCTTTTCTCACCACTATAGCAGTCTTGTGACTTCTATCCAGTGGCCGGTCGAACACTCGTAAAGCTTGTAAGAGTTTTCATTCTCCTCTGACTGGCCTATGAAGCTGCGTGACCCATGATCCTCTACCTGGACAGTGCTCATTGGCCTAGTTCTGATCACATGCATCCTTCCAATAAAAAAAAAAAAACACTCTAGCAATACGCACCAAACTGAGCATGTGCAGAGTTTCTCCTATGGCTCTGTACTATCAGCAGATGGGCTGGGAACTATGGAAAAAGGGGAGGATCAGAAAAGACCAGATCAAACTGCATTTTTACACAATACGGAGGATTAACCCCTTAGTTTCCACAGTAAGTATAACAAGCATGCTTTACTGCATATGCCGACTTATTTTACTGTTGTGGGTTTAATAACACTTTAAGTGTGAATGGGGTCTTAGTTGTTGAGAGATTTGTTCTTTGGTATATTTGTTTTTTTTTTCCATAAAAAGATACTGTGTTGCAGTATAATTTCTGTAAAAATCAAAACATGGCAGTGTAAACAACATATTGTAAAAATAAGATATGATAACTTTCACAGAAACCAAGAACTGCAAATAAATAGTTCTGTTCTTGAAATAATTGTCAGCAAATATGAAATGTTCTTAGGAGATTGCTACTGGATGGTGTGCCCAGTGCTCTGTGTATTATACCAGTAGTGTTTCTAAGATCTGCTTTTACTTAGCTTCATATGTCTGTCAATCAAAACCACATGGCTCCATTAAGGACTCAATGAAGCACAAACCCAAAGATAGTGTGGAAGGTTACATATAAACATATGGGAATTGAGTCATTTTAAAGTCAACCAATACTGTGTGATTAAGCAGGGAATACTCTGGGCCAGTGGTTCTTTTCTTGCCTGTTTACACACTTTTAAAGCACTCTGAAGTTCTGAACCCCCCTACCCCAATTTCATTAAAGTACAATATGGTTTCTCCAAGCTATCTCTGAGGGCAAGATGTCATTCTTCTGATTGCGTTGCCGCCTGCGAGGGGTCATAATCTTGTTGTTATAGTTGCTCAGAAGTGTTGAGAGTGACTCATTTTAAGTTCACGGGGACAATTTTTACAGAAACATTTTTATGGCCAGCACATACAGTATAGTTACTTTGACTGAAAAGGCAAAGCAGTGATTGTACTTTGTCCTTTTTTGAAGAGATTTAGAAGTGCTGGTCTGTCGCAGGAAATCCTCTTGGCCTTTTCCAGGGGTGCAATATAAAATATTGTGTCACTTTATAACAGGGTGTGTATGTGGCCCAGAACATTAGTGTAGTACGGAGGCTAGTAAAGACTGTGCAAAATATCATTGGCTACCAAGTACCTTAGGACACTGGAAATGGGAAGTGCCTTCATAGGGCACATAATATATAAGGATTCCACACATCCAAACGCTGATTTCTTTTATTTTATACAGTGTGTATGTAATATATATTTATTTATTTTTTTTAATTCCTATTTAAACTCAGGTCTTAGCCACAATCTTTAATGTGACATTAAACCAAAAGCAAACATCTAGTATATTGCAGCTTACCTTTTCTTAGATATGATGGCTGTATTCATTTTTTTTTTTTTTTGGCTTTTTCTTCTCTTTTCCCCTGATGATCCAGCCAGTACGTCTGCTGTTTTTCTAAAGAACATGCTGTCCAGCAGAATGTATCACAGAGATGAGACAAACCATTTAACACTAGCAGAGGTGCTTACAATGATCAACTTTTGTTTATTAATGTAAATCGTTTATCCCAAAGGGAAACAAAATTGCTTGTTGTACTTGCTTATAAAGTGTTAGATGGAGTTTGGCTTCAAACTGTTTGTGTATTTAAATCTGCTAGTACATCTAACACTGTTCTCTCCCCAGACTGGCAATGCTGCTGTCCAAAGTTGCCCCATGTACTTGTTTATCCAGAGTGGTGGCACTGTGATATAAGAGTGTGTTACTTGCCAGATCACCAGGTAAAAATAGAAAAAAAAAGCCTAAAAAGTAAAACTGATGCAGACACAACCTCTAAAGATTGGTAAGCTGCAATATATTACATTTTTGGCTTTGGGTTTAACACCACTTTAAGATAAGTCTATATACATCCAGTGACCCACAACTGCAGAATGCTTTTAAGTTCTACTGTCAATGTTACTACTGCATATTCTTGGCTTTACACTCAGTGTGTGCAGGCAAATTTCAATGTTCATGTAGGCCTGTTCCCAAATGTTATCTGATAAGGTTCACCCTCCCCAGATATATTCTGCTTATTAATTAAGCAGGATGTAGCTAGCAATGCATAATAATAAAGCAGAATGTGTGTAAGATAAATACTATAAATGATACCAGGTCAGCCTAATGCCCACATGGCTTTCTGATAAACGTGGGCATTATACTGACCTGGTATAATCTATAGTTGGTTTGAAACTGTATATTTTGCTTGATATAACTGCTTTATTCTAGAACTCTTATTTTATATTTCTGTGCCTAGGAAATCATCCCCCACATGGCAAAAGAGTATGGCTTCCAGTATGAATTAGTTCAGTACAAATGGCCAAGATGGCTTCACCAGCAGACTGAGAAACAACGGATTATTTGGGGTTACAAAATCCTCTTCCTGGATGTTCTCTTTCCACTTGCCATTGATAAAATCATTTTTGTTGACGCTGACCAGGTAAGGTGCTACATGTAAAATTAAGCATGGGTTCTTAACAGAATCAGGTGACAACTAACAGGCTCTGGCCACAGAGTAGTTAGTGTAAAAATAGTTTTTTTTTTCTCAGCTCAAATTTGAAGCCTTGTTGCAAACAGACTTAGATTGTGAATCCATCTCAGGTAATTATGTGAACATTCTTCAGTCCCGCAGGGATTTTAGAAGCTCATTACCTTCTCTATCGGTTCTATACTGAATATCCATGCAAAAGGCTTTCATTTCTGTATTTTCCATTCCTCTTCTTTGTTCTCATAAGTTCAGGATGTTCAGTGTTTAAATGATCTGTGTCTTGCCTGTAGCTCCTAAGGAAAGAAATCTGAGCTTGCGTTTAATGAGAAAATCACAAGAACCAATGCTTCGCAGACCCTTACAAATCCAAGCTAGACCCTGGAGTCGAAACATGTTTAATCCGAATATTGACAGTTTGAATCCAAGCACATCATTAAATTGTGTGTTATTTGGAACTGTTACCTTAACCACTTCTTCCCTGGATTTCTACATCAATTCTGTGTGCAATCAGTCTAGATATTTTAAACAGAAATTCATATTTGCAGTCTTAACGGGTACTATATTTGTATATTCATAATAAGAGCAAGCAGCATCACCTTCACTGAAATGACTAATCGTTTCTTTTCTGAGTCCTCAGGTAGCTGGGTTGATGTGCTTTAGAATGTCATTTTTGACACTGGAAGGATACTGTAAGCTGAATCAGTCACTAGTCACTAATAGTCTCCTACCTGCCATCTGCTGCCTTGTTTAGCAGCAGGTAACACAGATGAGGCAGAGTTCAGTGCTGTGCTTGAGATACAATGGCGTTGATTTACTAAAAATGTAGAGTGCAAAATCTGGTGCAGCTGTGCTTGGTAGCCAATCAGCTTCTAACTCCAGCTTTTTCAATTAAACTTTGACAAAAAAAAAAATAGAAGCTGATTGGTTTCTATGCACAGCTGCACCAGATTTTGCATTCTCCAGTTTTTGTTGTAAATCAATCCTAATATGTCAAAGCTAATTTCCTTTTTGTGTACATAACTGTATGTGTTTGTGTATGTGTGTAGTTTTATAGTTAGGATGAGGTGATAAGTAGGCACAAATTTGACACATTCTAATTAGATAGCTTTACCATTTGCAGGTGCCCTGTTGGCACTTTTACTGACTGTTCAGGCTTTGTAGGTGACCTGTATAATCTACTGTATACCGTATATATTGTAAGATTATTTTTATTTGAGATAAGAGATACTATAAAGCTGTTTGCTAAACACCGCTTCATCACCTGTAAAATGTCAAATTCCAGTCAATCCGTATTTAAGAATTGTTTCCAGTATGCACTGGAAGAACACCAGTAAAGATGTTTGAACAGTAGGTCGATCTTTGTGATAAAAGTTTACTGGTATGTTGCTCACCACACCTGATTGACCGTTTAATATGGGTCAAAAATCGAGAAAAAATATGAAAAAAGTATGATATAGAAACACTGTGAATATGACCCTTAGCAAGAAAGCTAATGGGGTTTTAAAGGTACCATACCACACATTAGAAAAAACTCGGCAAAAATATGAGATTACTTTTATTAAATTAAAAAAGCCACCATAATGGTGGATCGTAGCATTAGAACACATAGGGCATAATAGGCCCGAATACAAACAATACTACAAAGTGTAGCCTACTAATACATGTACTAACACATGACACAGATTGAAGCTGAACATCATTAGTACAAAATAGTACTTGTAGGTTGCTCCAACATATTTGATACAGTTGAACATGTGTTTGTTACTCCAACGCGTTTCACGGGACAAGGCCCACTTCTTCAGGGAAACAAAGTATACGTTTCTAGAATCAAGCAAAAATAGGCCCAAAACATATTATAAATATATAACCATTACAACACTCAAAAAATGAAATCAAAAACTGTCAGCATTTACCGGTTGGTAATATTGATGTTTGCACATAAAGCCAATGAAAGACAACCCGAGCAATTGGTTCAAGGATGGATAGAAGGGGACCCCTCCGTCAAAAGTATCAGTGGCCGCCAGCCAGATGGAACCATCATTGCACAATAAAGAGCTAAAACATCATTACAAAGAATTCAATATATATTAAGGTAAAATAGAAAATGTCCCTCAGAAATACAAACTACACCCCTACTCCCCAAACTAGCAATCAATAAAATCCTAGATAAAGGGGGGGACAACAGTAATAGAGGCAAGGGAAAATAAGTATAGCCTTATGCCCTCCACATCTACACCAACTTTATGGCCCCATAAATGGGTCACCTTAAGCGTAGAAATAATTAATGTATTCCAAAGTAAATCCAAATTTTAGGTGCGGACTCCAGGGTGGGAAACATGGTTGAGAGATGCTTAG